ATTCAGATTAAGTTCCTGGAAAACACAGAGATGCAAGTGTATTAAGTGAAGCAAAGGAAGAGTCTTGTAATCTTTCTCAGTCTGTTTTCAGCTCTGAGGCTGAGGAATGAACATATTTGTTTCCAACACTCTTTAGTTTCCATTCGTTCAAAGTATACTTGTTACTGTGTTACAATGAGGTATTTCATCATATTGTGGCAGGGCTGCCTCATTTAACAAAACCATTAATCTTTATTTCGTACATAATTATTCAGCACCAAAAACAGCTCTAAGCAAAATAAAAACTTTTGTAATTTTGAGGAAGTTTGTGACTGTGACAATTTCCAAATCTAATTTTCAGCATTACAATTTGCAAAAATCCAGCTCCCTTTTTCTAAATCTTTCCCATCTTCCTCACCCTTCCTCGTATACCCACAGCACATCTCACTCTTCTGTCTCATTTGTAAACAACAGAATATGCACTCAGTGAAGCATTTTAGAGTAATTACAGCAGTGCAGACCAGCCGCTGGCCATCCTTAGCTGCCTGTTAAATGGAGCTTGCGGTTTGATTGAGACGACCACAGGGATGCAGAGGCTATTTATAGACAGGCCCGAATTACCATGTAGAACTGCTGTTATGCAATATGCACACTCTCCCACATACATGCAATCACACACAGTCATACATGCAGATATGCAGTGAGGAATGCACACTCACATAAACAGACAGCAACATACAATTTGAATAAATTATTTTTACAGCAGAGGATAAAAAGAATTTATAGCAAATAATTGTAATTTAAAAAACAGAAACACTGCATGGAAAAATTACATTTTTATACAACTTATTTGAAACAGAACAGTTGTTTGGAAGAAAACTTAATGCAGCTTGGATTACGTTTTCTGTTAACATAATAACGAAATGTTCTGTCAGTTCCCAGAAATGTTGAAACATCTGATCGGTAGTGATTACATCGTTGCTGAACTTTCATTACTATGCTTAGGCACTGGCAGCACTTAAGGAAGATTGTGGTCATGGTTTAATACAGAAAAGTCGAAAATAAAAGGCCATTTGCACGCTTCCTCAAACCTGTGACATCTGTGGCATTGTGCTGTGTGATGGAACTGCACATTTTCGAGTGGCCTTTTATTGTGGCCATCCTAAGGCCTTTTATTGTGGCCATCCTAAGGCACACCTGTGCAATACCCATGCTGTCTGATCAGCATCTTGATATGCCCCACCTGTGAGGTGGATGGATTATCTCGGCAAAGGAGAAGTGCTCACTGACACAGATTTTGACAGATTTGGGAACAATATTTGAGAGAAATAGGCCTTTTGTATCAGGGCTGCCACACGGAAGGATGAATCCAGTGAACTCCTGGATGCACGGGTGACGAAAGTTTATTTAGCTTACACTTTGTACTTTTGCCTGTGAATTACCGAGTGAAAAGGCTGGTAGCTAGGTCAGAAAACACAGGTTCGATACGCAGGGAAACTAAACTCTAGGAATACACTGGAACACTGTTGCTGGGTCAATTAGATCAGGGAGCCGGGAGGCAATGGGGCACAGGTGGAACACATTAGGGCAGGGAAGGGTGATCACACACACTAGGGAGGCAGACAGGAACCAGGTGAGGAGGTGGACCTGAAACGAAACACAATGTGAGCAAACAAGCACCAACAAAAAACACATGCACAACTGACAACCGAAAACATGACCTTCAGTGCTAGAGCTGGGCATGACATTATGCAGGGCCGTGCAGAGACCTTTGGAAGGGTAGGTGTATAAAAGGGGCAAATGGAACAAGGATTTAAATAGGGCTGTTCTCAAAATATCAATACAGAAATATATCGTTCTGTATTCCTTGCTGATATGCGTATACTGATGCTTCTGTATCGATACATCAGCAGATACTGTGACATGGTTTTTAAAAAGAAACACGGGGAATACTCTAGCTTTAAAACACTGTGGGCTGACATAACTAACAGCGAACAGTTGCTGTTGAGGGGTTGCTGGGGATGCTGCTGCTGATACTACAGGTGGTGATCTGTGACAAGAGATATTATAACAAACATAGTTTGTATATATGTATATTAGCTAATTAAACAAATGTGACCATGACAAGATGTAAAGACTGTTGAGTGTTTGGGACTGGCTCAGAATGACTGACCTGCTGTAGTTCTGCAGCTGCTGCCAAGGCTGACTGCTATGAGAAAATAAGAGGGAGATGCTCACAGATTAACATTTCATACCTTTTTCTGAAATCTAATAGGGCCATTTCTTCTACACTCTTTACTTTGATGTCAGGAATATTATTTTATTTTGCATTGACATTGACATTATTATATGTTTTTCCAGTTATTTAGTTTATATTGTAGGTTTGCTGTTGTAAACACAGTTAAAATGTAGGCTAAATTTATTCTAATACTGTTCATTTTAAAAGGGCTGATAAGTAGGCTATAATTCGGAGGAATAAGTATCAGTAGAAGCCTGCTTTACCAATGTTGTTGTAATTATTTTAAGGCACACTACGTTTTTTATTAAGCTACTGTAATAATCTTAGTTCAAGTGAAAGGTTTTTAGTCAAATTACATAAAAAATACAATACCTCACATTGCAGCAAACCCCCCTCACCAGCGGAATCGAAGGTGTCCTGTAGTCAGAGCTGCTGAATCACTAACGGTGTGTGAACGGGAGGCTCGTCACGGATGAGGTCATCAGGTGAAAGGCCTTCACTAAAGCGCCTTTAGAGATTTAAAAATAAATAAATTAATTAAATTTGTCATTTACAAAAGGGCACTTTGGGCATCAAAGGGCAAAAGGGCAGGTGCTCAAGCACCCATCGCACCCCCCTCTGCACGTGCATGACATTATGTGTACATAGAGAAAGTCTTAGATCTTTGAGTTCAGCTTATGAAGAATGGGGGCAAAAACAATCTGAATAAGCAGATGTGACAGCTCTTGTTGTTGTTGTGTATATGCAGGTACAAACACACGTCACATTTAGTAAAGTTGAACCTCAATGTGCAGCTGCAGTTTATTCAAATAGAAGAACAGGGTGCTGAGTTTCGTTCTAACAAAAAGTTACTGCATCACAGGCTAACTTATTCTTTATGGTGTACATTCAACAGGTAGTTGTTAGTTCTGTCCTTTGAATCAATTTCGCCAACCACGGCATCATTTTCTGAGACAGCCTCCTGCCGGCCTTCAGCTCGCATTAACACCGCCCACTGTGTGGTGTTTTAAAAGGAAGTATGACTGAGTGAAAAGTCACACTCTGGTGGGACTGTGTCATAGAATCTATGTTTATGTTTGATGAAATGACACAATGGTACAAATACAATAAAATAAGGACACAATTATAATTTTCCTGTGACAGCTCTTGTCGGGTGTTTGTCAGTGCAACGGGCTGGAGGATCATCATCAGTTTCACTAAGGCATTTGTCTTTTGAAAATTGGATCTGTATTTGATTTGTCACCAAAATGTGTTTCTGTGAACTGACCAGGTTATGAGTGTGTTGGTGAAATCACTGGGGGCACACGTCGTCTCTTATTGCTCTGTGTTCTGTGTGTGTTCTGTTTTTCACTGAATATCCAACATGTCACTGCTGGTAAAAGAGTTCATACTGAAAGTACAGAGAAATAAGAAATACTTTGTGTAAGATCGTTTTCCAAAACAAGCTCGTATACAGACTTTGTGCAGGTGTGTGCACATTAGAATACAAGTAGGATGCTGACTGACTGAGGTGATTGGTTAGGTTACTTCCAGATTGCATCAGCCTGTTTATAAAAGAAGCCAAGCCAGCCTGCTGATGCTGGTGTGAGTACAGGCACACTCTCATTTCAACACTGACAATAAGTGCTTTATATTAATGTGTTTACTTTATTTTAATTTGCTGATGAAAACTGTAATCTTAACTTTAAAAAGTTTTCTTATATCATTATTCCCTCTCTCTCTCGCTCTCGCTCTCTCTCTCTCTCTCTTTGTATTATGCATTTTGCTCCTAAGTAGTTGATTATGCAAATTTGCGACTATTGCATTCAAATTAATTTGATTTGGTGCAAATGTTTTCACACAGAAATGCTTGTGTGACTGTGTGGAGAAGTATTGTGTGGCGTCTATTTAACAGGATTGAACAATTTGATATATTTGCTAAATCGATCAATATGACCTACTGCAATTTTCAGAGGTGCAAAAATAACAACATAATTCATTTAAATATGTTTTTCAACAAGAATGAGAATAATTATGTAAAAATGATCATTCCCCCCAATATCACAGATCATATCACAATTGCAAAATCAGCCAAAATAATCACAATTAAAAGATTTTTTTAACCTGTTAAATTAGCTCTAAACTGTGGTGCTACTGAAGGGTCTACACATTATATTATCCAGACATAAGGGAACACGCTCGTTTGGTACAGACCCCAGGAAAAAATCTGATCTTTTTTTTTTTTCATTAAAAATTAAATGCCAAGATTACCATTCCCAGTAAAATCCAGACTCATATCACAATCACAGTATCTTTGAAAATAATCTCAGTTATTCAATATGCAATTTTTCTTTTGCATATCATTCAGCCCTAATATTATTTATCTTTTATCATCATTATTTAAACACTTTTTATTCCTTATTTTTTATTTGTCATATGTGTGAAATATTGTTCTAATTTCTGCCATGGTAGCTTACAGTCCCTAAGACAGTACCAAAGACAAATTTGAGAGTTATGGTGGCTCAGGAGGAAGAGCAGGTTGCCTGTTAATCGGAAGGTTGGTGGTTCAATCCCTGGCTCCTCCTCCATGTCAAAGTATCCTTGGGCAAGATACTGAGTGAATAAATGTCAGTGCAGATACAAATACGGAGAATAAATACATGAAAATTAAAGTGGAGTCAGTTGGTAAAGGTTGATCATATTTAGCCATTTAAAGAAACTTCCTTTCAGTGACGTAAGTGTATAATGCTAAATACAAAAGTGAGTTAGATTCTCTATTTAAAGTCGGTTTGTGCGTTGACAGATGGCATGTTTGGGAGGTGTCACTCTGTTCCGGTGAAGGAGGTTTACACCTACGATGTCTCCCCATCCGTAGTCCAGCGATTCAGGACGCTGCTGGAGAAGCTCTCCAACAGAGGTACAAACACACACACACACAGATCTCATTACATGCATGCACAGCAATCAAACACACCAGAGCAGTGCCGTCTTTCCACCCCTAAAAAATAACACAAAAATTGTACTCAGATGTACTCAAATGTAGCATTTTGTTTAATTATTTGTTGTGCAACTGTGTTCATGTGCAGATAACAAGACACTACTATGCTCTGGCCACCACCTTTTGTAATAAATTACTGCCTTTACAATCAATTACCAGATCTTAATCCAGTTTCAAACCTATGGAAGAATTTGACCCAACATGTAAGAAATACAATGCTCTCCACCACCATAACACCTAATAATATAAACTTTCATCTTCAGTTCTATTTGGTGAATGTCCTTTTTGTTCTGTCTGGCAGTTTTTTCTTCTACAATCTGTTCTCAGGTCTTTCTTGCAAGAGAGGTCAATGAGATTAAGTGAACATTTTATTTGTGTCTATCTGGACATCTAAATCAAGTAACTATAACTATAAGAGGAAGAGTAAAAATAAGCCATAAAATTAGCTTTGCGTCTTTGTCAGGTACATATTTACTACATACTACACTATTCCCCCACGTTCTCATCTCAGTGTGTCATTACGACGCCTTCAGACAGAGTGACAAAGCATAGTTATTTGACGCTAAAGGTACCCTTAAGCGTCCGTATGAAACGCAGCAGTTTGCTATGTTGCAGAAACACAAAGGAGGCTAACACTTAAAGTTAAACATAAAGTCACTGACTTAGGTTTAGGCACAAACCCCAGAGATGGACATGGTAAGGGGCTTCAGGGGCTGTCAACGCCTTTAACACAAACGTAGCCTAGCACTTCAGGTTTGTATGAGATGCGTCCGGGGGCGTCTCTACAGACACACCCGGGACGTGCACCTGTAATCCACAACGTGATCAACGTAATCCACAGACAGGGACATAAGAGAACATGTGAAACAATGAACAGACAAGAACAGATAAACGGAGGGGGCCGGGTAATTGAACACAGGTGGCACACATTAGGAATCAAGGCAGACAGAAAACAAAGCTAGACATAGATACATGAAACCAAACACTACAAAATAACAAAAGAACTTGCCCACGGAAACACACAAGGACGAATTTACCAAAGTAAAACAGAAAACACAGAACAGATGAAGTGCTGACAAATGAATCATAGGTTTACCTAACATGTGTCTGATGCTCCCCAGAACCAAAACTGTTGATATCCCCAGGATTAGATATATTTATATAAAGTAAATTCAGCTGTAAAGCTGTAAACATTTTGTTGTGAGGCTTGTGGGTATATCTTTCAAGCTTGACTGTCTCACAAAAGCAGTTTGTTTCTTGGAAAAGTCACGTTTGTATGACTGTAAGAGATGGTATATTAGTCATAAGTCATACAATAAAGACCTAGACAGGTGCTGGCTGATATGTGCATTCTGTGGCCACCTTTTATTCTATTTAATGGTTTTATTTATTTATTTATTTTTACCACTGAATGGTCACACTGCCACTTTAAAACACTCCACTTCCTTAAAACGAATCATAACCTGATAGTCCCTCCCTCTTCTTCCTGCTGTCAAACACAGCTATTGTTTCCTATTCTTTACAGATTTGGCAGTTTGCAAATAGGTGTAACCAACCCATGATGAGAAGAGCTTACAAGGGCCCATTTGGCACATATCAGCAAGTAAACATTAGGGAACATTGTTTGAATTCAAACACAGACTTATTTCTGTTGTGAGGAAGTGAAACTTCAGTTGCTGTCAGTGAGGAGAAATGGCGCAGCGAGGATATCTCCTGGACCATGAGAAATTCTGCTGTTCCATCTGTCTGGATGTACTGAAGGATCCGGTGACTATTCCCTGTGGACACAGCTACTGCATGAACTGTATTAAAACCCACTGGGATGAAGAGGAGGAGAAGAAAATCCACAGCTGTCCTCAGTGTAGGCAGACCTTCACACCGAGGCCTGTCCTGCTGAAAAACACCATGTTAGCAGATTTAGTGGAGGAACTGAAGAAGACTGGACTCCAAGCTGCTCCTGCTGATCACTGCTATGCTGGACCTGAAGATGTGGCCTGTGATGTCTGCACTGGGAGAAAACTGAAAGCCCTCAAGTCCTGTCTGGTCTGTCTGGTCTCTTACTGTGAGAAACACCTGCAGCCTCACTTTGAATCTCCTGCCTTTGAGAAACACAAGCTGGTGGAGCCCCTCAAGAAGCTCCAGGAGAACATCTGCTCTCGTCATGATGAGGTGATGAAGATGTTCTCAGCTGCAGCAGAAAGGACTGAGAGGCAGAGAGAGCTCGAGGTGAGTCGACAAAACATCCAGCAGAGAATCCAGGACAGAGAGAAAGATGTGACGGTGCTTCAGCAGGAGGTGGAGGCTATCAATCGCTCTGCTGATGAAGCAGTGGAGGACAGTGAGAAGATCTTCACCGAGCTGATCCGTCTCATGGAGAAAAGACGCTCTGATGTGAAGCAGCAGGTCAGATCCCAGCAGGAAACTGAAGTGAGTCGAGTCAAAGAGCTTCAGGAGAAGCTGGAGCAGGAGATCACTGAGCTGAAGAGGAAAGACGCTGAGCTGAAGCAGCTCTCACACACAGAGGATCACAACCAGTTTCTACACAACTGCCCCTCAGTGTCAGCACTCAGTGAATCTACAGACTCATCCAGCATCAAGAAACGTCCTCTGCGCTACTTTGAGGATGTGACAGCGTCTGTGTCAGAAGTCAGAGACCGACTACAGGACGCTCTGAGTGAGAAATGGACAGACATCTCACTGACAGGGAGAAAAGTGGATGTTTTACTGCCACAGCAACTGAGGACCAGAGAGGAATTCTTACAGTATGCATGTCAAATCACACTGGATATACACAGCAACACAGCACACCCCTGGATGATGTTATCTAAGGGGAACCGTAAAGTAACACATATGAGAAATGACTATTTCTCACATTATGATTCCTCAACTAAATTCATTCACAATGCTCAGGTCCTGAGTAGAGAGAGTCTGACTGGACGTTGTTACTGGGAGGTGGAGTGGGATGCACTTGTCACAATAGCTGTTGCATACAAGGATATAAGCAGATCAGGGAGTTATAAAGAATGTGCATTTGGACACAATGCAAAGTCTTGGGCATTATATTGTCTTGCTAAATATGAATTTAGACATAACGATATCAATACCCCAATCTCAGGTAAGCGGTCCCACAAAGTAGGAGTGTTCCTGGATCACAAGGCAGGTACTCTGTCCTTTTACAACGTGGATGAAACCATGACTCTCCTCCACAGAATTCAGACCACATTCACTCAGCCTCTCTATGCTGGACTTGGTCTTCATTTTTCTGGAGGAGACAATGCCGAGTTGTGCGAGCTGAAGTAGACAGGACTTTGTCAGTGGCAGTGGGTTCGATTCTGTGTTTTGATTTTGAATTTTGTTGTTTGCTTCATGTTCCTGTGTTGCATTTCTATCAAGTTGTGTTGTCGCCATTGTACTTTCCCATGATGGCAATTACTGTCATAAATGTAATGGAATACTGAAGATAAATGTATGTAGTTTTAATCACTAGTGCAGTTAGTCTGAAATACAGATAACAGAAACATATTTTTTCATTGTAATCTGTGGTGTGATCTCATAGCTCTTGTGTTTTCTAATGCCGTTATATTGCTGCACAATTTGTTGCTGTAAATTTTGCTATGCTTCCCATAACGATATCTCTATTTTATATTGAAAAGTGAAGTAAATGAAAGAAAATCAATACCATCCATCCATCCATCCATCCATCCATCCATCCATCCATCCATCGTCAACCGCTTATCCTGCGTACAGGGTTGCGGGGGACTGGAGCAAACCCCAGCTGACATCGGGCGAAAGGCGGTGTACACCCTGGACAGGTCGCCAGTCCATCGCAGAATGTGTCAATACTGTTTAAGTAATTTAAACTGTAGTGTTATTGTAATCATTGCTATCTTTATCAATAAGAAAGAACAGATAAGTTGATTATTGTGTGGGTGAAGTGAACATGTACACACAAACAAACACTTTAATATTTAAATCAAACACTCAAAAGCTGCAAAAGAACAAAAACAGACCACTTCCCTTTGAAACACAAGCGCATTCTGCAGCAGTCTAACAGAAGTTAATTGAAGTTTATTTGTTAACTTATAGGTTCGGTAGCGGGGCCACGCCTCAACCACACCTCCAATCACCTGTCAAGGCTACATATACCGCTCCGCTCAGCCTGCCCCGCTTGTTTTATATCTCCAGTTCTCCAACGAGATAGCCCTGACTCCCTGTAGCTCTCAGGCCCCCTCAGTCAGCGAGGTCAGGAAATCTAGGACATCGCGGGAGTCGGCATCAACACCTACTTTCCTCTTCCTGTGACAAACACCGGCTACTCTTCACAGCGCGGCCGTCTCTTCCCGACATTAGAGACTGGACCGTCGCCCGCCTCCAACGGGAAAGGCATTCCCTCCAACTGAAACATAGCCTCCAGCAAAACTCAGGCAACAACAAACACCAAGCCTTGTGCGCTTCCGGGTCTCCGCCAGGGTTGGCCACAGCCAGTGGCATCACGCATGACATCACAGGGCCTTGACGGCCACAGCTTGCATCTCCAGCTCCCCCTGGCGGGGATCAGGTCATATTTCCCCATGTGCCTGCTCCCTCTGTGTCTGACATGTCTCAGGCAATCTCTGCCTTCTTTTCATCCACGTGTTCGCAGGCTGCAGTCACCTCCCGTGCACACAGATCCTTTCATCCATCATCCCTTCCTTCCGCTGTTTGCAGCAATACGGCTTCTGCTCCTCTCTCTCTCCAAGCAGTCAACGCAGCAAAAAGAGCCGCTCACAACTCAATGGGCCTCACCCGAATCGGCGATCCTCAGCTTTGTCCTTCATTTCCAACTGGTCTGTCCTTGACCCACCCACCCCCATTCCCTTCCTTCCCCACTCCCTTCCTTCCCTAACACCCAAAGGAACCCACTTTACAGCCAGACGCTCACCATTCACTTCAGACCGTCTCAGCCTCTGCATCCTTCCATACGTTAAGGATACATGTCCCCAGCGATTAACTTAACTCGAGATCCATGTTCCTGACGGCCTTTTCTTGAAGTGTCAGTATTAGTAGATGTCATCTACTTTAATCCTTCCAACCATCCCTGTCACCATCCGCACCTCCAACCAAGGGTGGACTGGCACAATAATTCTGGTCAGGCATTTCACACACAAACGCTAAAACATATGGCCACGTGCACATCCTATGTGCTAGGTAGATTAATTAATTAATTTGCTATATTATCTCGGTTGCTGGTCAAGTGGATAATTAACGGGAGGCCAAACAGCCCTCAGGCCACCAGTAAATCCTGACCCTCCGGGTGGCCAATCCGTTAGTGCCTCCATCTCTCTTATCTTCACACTTCGAAGAAGTAAACGGATCAGCTAGGAGTCTCCTTCCGCCTCAACTAAGCTCCTACGAGCCACGAATCAAATGCATCGGCACCAGGTACGCCACAAGGCATCACCACAACACCTACTTTTCTTACAGAAACAGGAAATGGTCACTCGATTCTGGTTCCATAAACATGGAATAGAATCATTTGCATTTTAGGCATATCCCCCTTTTTTCCTCACGAAACACCGCAGTGTTCACTGTTTCTCACCCGCCACGCCACCATCTCACATCATCCCTAGGCCCGCAGACTCACGTCTTTCTGTTAATGTCCCCATGCTAAAGGGAACTGACAAACAGGGCAGGCCAGTTTTCATCAAGCTGGCACGATGGTCTGCATTAAACACCGGGGCTGCACTCTTGCACTGCAAGAGTGTCTGCTCCTTCTGCGTAGCAGCACTATTCAATCACAACAGCAGACAGCAGAGTCCAGTTTTCTTCATCAGCACTCACAAACTTACCTCGTCGTCACAGCCGCCATCTTTGGGGGTTTTAAGGGTCTAGCGAGTCCACACTCATCCACCCAGATAACACTACAGTCGTAGAGATTCCACACAGTCGATCCCATTCCTCTGTCAGAACCTCACTCCTTTGCAGACTCATGAATACCGCTATACATCGGTTCATCCTCAGGGCAGCTCACATTCCTGCCACCACAGGACCATTAGCAAACCATCGTCTCGTCTCTAAATCACACATTGTTGTGACGTAGTCCTTGCTTGTGAAACAAAAGTGTTGTATTGTATTGTATTGGGGGGGGGGGGGGGGGGGGGGGGGGGGGGGCTGTGTGCTGTTCTCTTCTCTTTGCATACCACTACTTATTTAAGGCTTGATGCTCACTCAGGTTATCAAATCTGTTTTCTTTACTTGTCCAGCCTTTTGTGGGATAAATTGCTGTGTGGTTTTATTACTGTAAAGCTGATGATACATGGAGTAACTTTCAGAGCAATGGTGCTGGGCAATGTTGCCGTCAATGGTAATGAGTAAAGATTAGTACTGATCGCCTTCCCCCACTGCCCCGCCTCGCCCCGCCCTGCCCCGCCTCGCCGTTATCTGTTCAAAACATAGCAGACATGCCACCACCAAAATTGAATAACTTAGAAATGTTTTATTTTCAGTACAGTGTTTTCCCTATGTGACCGCCTCTACTAAAATGCCCCACTCATTAATATATCAATGCGCTACAAATTTTTACTGACACACTATGCGAGCCCGGAAACACTCATCACTCGGCTCGCTTCCTCTCCTCATTATTCAAAGAACATCTACGTGACAGGTGCTGTAGTAAGACCAGCGTAACTCTGAATCAGGAGGTGCGCAGCGAGTGTTTGATTGTCCGAGCGGCAGAAAGTGACGGTGAACGCGATTATTTTGCCATTAGTTTGCGCCAAGTTAGCTAACATCTCCCCTCTCCTTCGTTTTATGGCTGTATGTAACTTCAGGTAACTGGTAGCTGTAGTTTATTACTACCTACTTGCCCAGTGTTGAGAAGATCAGGTACAAACTTGGACTAAACTGGTGTAGTCTGCTGCTCAGTCCTGTACAGACTGGTTCATCCTAAATTATTTTTCAGTTTTCAGATGAGTCGGAAAAAGTGGTCGAAAAAAAAAAAGGACGGTGGTGACCGGAGCAGCTGAGGTTAGCAAAGCAAATTAGTGATGCAAACTAATCCTTTTAAGCTAATGAGGAGACGTTCCTTTTTGGATTTTAATGTGCAAATAAAATGCACCTCAGAAGGGAGGAGGTTTCTCATGTTGCCCATTTTTCATATTAATGTCTACAGATAAATGTCAGAAGCTGTAAAATGAAGACACAAAAGACAAACATGAACAGTCGTATCTATAATGATTCTGAGGTCATATTAACAGGGTTTTATGGGTTGATGCCCAAAACATGCTGTGCCATAAATGTCTAATCACTGTGGAGATGGTGAATCTTCACAGACACTGTGGAGAGCATCATAACCAAACCACCAAACAAAGCACTTTCCACAAATATAATGGTTATAGTTCCTCCAGTAGACTGATATTTGGGTGTTGTTTATTTATTATCTTCTCTAGCTTTTTTTTTTTAACCTTTTAATCTAAAGCTCACATTAAACTATGGGAAAACACTGAAATATCATGGACACAAGAGCAATGCTGCTGAGGCATGTTGTGTTGGGGTTCTTCAGACATACTACGCTTTACGCGCACAAAAAAAAAATTGCTTCACCTCCGCTGCTACAACTCCATCCTAGGGGGAAAAACTGCAGTAGATTTTTATAACCTGTGTAGAAATGATGAATCCATGATCAGCATGATCTGCTGCTTGTCACCCTTTCTGGTGTAATACGTTGCTGTTATTGTACTGTAGCACTAGATGGAGACAGATACCTATAGAACAGCCCATTGGGCATCTGTGAGCATTTCATCTACTTTCATCATGCAGCTTTGCTTTGAACAACAGGACCTCAGCTACACTGGAAAAAACAGCCTGTTGCTTCTCTGGAGTTTAGCGTTCATGCCTGCAACCGCTGAAGAAAGAATGATGTCAAAAAAGTGAAACAGTTATTTTGTGAGGAGTTTACGCCGTTGCCCTTTTTCCAACATCTTTCTTTTGCCTAATTTGGTGCCCTTCCTCCATCCCTCCTCTCTGCAAAGAAAAATGAAAAAAAAAAGAAACTACTCCCCTAGTTTAATTCGCCGAATCGGCACTCTGTGGGAGAGCTGGAGAAATATTCAGATTTCACAGAGAGGCGACGAGTTTGGAGGCATTTGTCAGGCGCTCTGAAGTGAAATGAATTATGCAAATGAGATGTTTGGCCCCGGCTGTCTGCAGAAGCCATTAGGGAGGACAAAACTCTAAAGACACTGAAGCATCTGCATTTCAGGCCCTGCCAGTCTACTGAAAAGATAACACAGTTTGCTCTTGCCTTATCTTTTTACTTTTTTCTTTTAAACACAAATATATGCATATATTATCATCAGCTGTAAATGTATGTAAGTAAATGGACATCCAATGAGCACCTGTGTTCAACACCCCTGTCAACATGTATTCTTTGTGGACAGAGGTGTCCACAATAAAAGCAATAGTTCCTGTCAGTCCAGAGTAGGGCTGTTGCAATGAAGTAATTTCCCCCACGGTAATATGTTGGGGCTCAACAGCGCGGCATTATCGCATTTATTTGTAATTTGGTGCCATATAGCAGAGTAAGAGTGTCTGTATCTGTCACCTCACTGCACAGCGAGCCGCTAAAAGCAGCTTT